AAAATCATACCAGATAACGAAACTACATTTGTTATAATATAGCAAACACGAAAGAACATTCGTTATTTAAAACAAGGGTGTTTTTGACATTCTATTTGTAATATTTTATACGAAAAGCAAAAAGAAAATATGGGGTCATTTAAACAAAAAAGACCTTTGACTAGGTCATTTAAATGAAGAGCCCTTTTCCCCTTCTCCGACTCTCCATGGCAAGTTTCATTGCCGTTCCCTCCGTCGCCCCAAACTTCCATTCCCGCCGCCGTGATCCAATTCTCCGTCCAAAACACGGCCGGAAACTCCGCAAACTCCGGTGCTACTCAAAGAGCCCAATTAACCATTCATCAGCCAGCGACAACAAATCCGAGCCTGAAAATCTGGTGCTGAAAATCGCTTGGTACGGATCTGAACTTCTCGGAGTAGCTGCTTCACTCCTCCGTTCACCGGCGAAGGCTGAGGACGCTGGAGCTGCCGTTGAGCTTGCCGTCGACGGATTGGGGAAAGTCGATCGAGCCGCGGTCGTGGAGACCATCAAGGAGGATTTCAGAAGATCGTATTTCGTTACAGGTAATTAGAGCATTAATGTATTTGCTTCTTTCTGTAAATATGTTTGGATTACTTCGATATGGCTGTGGAATGAAAATGAAATTGATTAGTTTCATTCGCAATGTTGAACGAGATTGTGAGCATGGGACTCATCAATGATGGGTTTTGTTTATGTAAGCATGGTAATAGGTACGAGTGTGATTGTTTTATCATTTGTTCTGTATATCTTTAGGAAACCTCGCGCTTGATGCTTATGAAGAGGACTGTGAATTTGCTGACCCGGCAGGCTCATTCCGTGGTTTAAGTCGTTTCAAAAGGAACTGCACGAATTTCGGGTATCTAATCGAAAGGTCGGATATGAAGCTCATGAAATGGGAGGATTTTAAGGTGAACTCAACAAACGTGCATGTTCAATGTTTCATAATTACATTTACAGCTATTTTTAAGCTTTTTGTCTGTACAAACTATTGATATGCTTGATATATGGAATTTGCTTGCAATTTTATCATGTTTTGCTTTCCGTGAAACAAGATAAAGGAATCGGGCACTGGCGTTTCAGCTGTGTCATGACTTTCCCATGGAATCCTATCCTATCAGGTGAACTAAAAACATGTGCCCTTAATATTTAGCCTTATTACACAGCACCCCATCTATCGTTCAATATATTCTTCATTCTTGATATTAGTTAATAAATTACTTATTTCTCCCAGTTTTTGTTGGGGTGTTTACTCACTAGAATGCTATCCTCAGGGGAGTGTTTGCAACGCTTTCAAGGGATACTGTAATTTTGAAATGTATCTGAGTCTTTATGCAATCATGTTAACCGTAATATATTCAAGCTCAAAACCATGGATTTCAACTTTTAACAGCGCACTTGTTCAGGTATTTGCATTCTTGATTTAATATTTGCTTCGTGACTTGTTGCAGCTACTGGCTATACAGAGTATTACTTTGATGAAAAATCTGGGAGAGTATGCAGGTATTATCATTGACTAATAGTATTTCTTTCCTTACCAGTCATTTCTGTACCAATTTCTCTGACTCTAGTCACTTATCTGTGCTGTTTTCCAGGCACGTTGAACACTGGAATGTTCCGAAAATGGCTCTTTTGAAGCAATTATTGAGGCCTAGCAGGGGACCTAGGAAATAAAGCCCCAAGTAGAAACATGATAAGTTTGAACTTGATGAGAGCAAAGCGATTCATGACCTACCCATAATACTAGGTAAGAACCATCCGTATACATCATCTGTATATATATGTTGCTCGTTTGGGTTTAATTTCTTGCTAAGAACAGCTTTCAAGAAGTCAAGTGCGGTTAAATCCTTTAGTTTTTGGTTTTTCCATATACACAGACAAAGAAGGGCAGTATGGCACATATTAGACACCAAAAATATGACAAAGTTTGGGCATGAAAGGGGCTAGTAGAGCCACTTTCAAGCAGGATATATTTCAACACACAAATAATCATTTTCCGCCTCATAAAAGCCTCAAAGAAATATATAAGTGCACTGAGCTATTTAATTGTATTGTTATTCTCATTGTTTTTCTTTTTCCTCATATGCGAATATGAAGAGCTCAGAGCTCAGGAGTTGCACTGTCTCTTGAAGGCCAATACTGATATGTGCATGCTGCTTCTACTTGAACAGGAAACGAGCCACTAAATGAAGACCTAACATGAAAACACAAGATATTATGATATTGTAAAATACTAAAAACCGGGCGATAATTCTAGGGAAACCAGACGATTCTTCAATAAATTTCTTTTTGGGTTGCTTATATCACATTGAAAATTATGAATAGTGCTAGGTATTCATAATTTTGTTTGCATAAGAAGATTGTCTATGTTGCCCGTCCCGACTTCGTCTTACTCGTTCAAAACCTTAGCCATTAAGTTTGTTTGCATAAGAAGATTGTCCATGCTCTAGCATCTGCTTAAATATATTATTATGTAAGCTTGTTCTGTGTGAGTGAATGAACACCCTTATATATACAACAAAATCATGGACATGTTACATTGGAACATTTGCTCACAAATTATTGGATCTCTATTGGTTTAACTTTAAATGAACTATGTGAAACGATTATGGATACAAAAAATGTGACAGAATCATGGTTATCCCAATAGAGAAAATTGCATCCTGTACAACTAATCTCATTTTTTATTGCATAAATGAAACCTATCTATAATTATTTGCAGAATTACGAGAAAGTAAAAAAATCAGTAATTTAAATATGATTAATATTAACCATAATTATAGGTACTTATTACATTCCAAAAACAAAAATATCGAGGTATTTGGTAAGAAAATCTCGCCCTCGTCTCTCTACCCTGCAGCAAATTCGTTCTATCATCGTTCGATCGAGCAAACCCCAGGTTGAGATCCACGTTTAATCCCGCCTTAAAAATCCTACCGCTGGGCATTCTTTTTCTCTGTTCGGAGAGCCTCGCCGTGCGCCATCGACGAGCAGCAGGTCGTGCAATCGAGCAACAAGTCGTCCTTTCATCCATCGCCATCAAGAGCAGCACCTCGTCGGTCCTTGTGCCGTTGTCGAGAAGAGTCGTCGCCTGCCGAGAAGGAGAAGTTGAGCGGCGAACGGGTGCAGCCTATGAAGTGGAATCGAGGAGAGCACCAACAACCTTTGTCCATGTTCGTCACACGCATATATACCGTATATGTTACGGGTATATACCATATATTTTCAGTATCCGAATAATGTAGCATCCTTCCAACTATTCTGTATATATTTCTGGTATATACAGTATATTTTTAGTATATATTTTTTGTCCGACTAATTTAGCATCATTCCAAGACGAAGAAAGCACATGATGAGATTGATTCAGTCATTGGACATGAGATAACTACATATATACATCATATGTACCACAAACATACTCTATAAAGTTTTTAAAACCATCACAATCAACATAATCTGTATATGTTCCCGGCAAATATACTGGTTTTTAGTATATGTTAGGCTCGACAGTATATTTGAAGTATATGTACATGAGTACGATTTTCAACTTGTTTTATATAATGTAAATATACAAACAATATACATAATAAATCAATAAAAATTGAAAATATTAAAAAAACGTTAAAAAAAATTTATTGGTTGTACAGATTCCTAATTAATAGGTTATACACTTACCTTTGTTTGTCAATTAAATCCTAAAGATGCAGTTACATCCGTGTGATTAGTTTATGCAGTTACATTTTCTTTTCCCACTGAATCTCTTTAGTTGTGTGATTTTAGGATGATTCATTCCTTTGATAACGGACGTTTTAAATCAGCAAATATAAAGGCACTTTAATTTGGTATGCATGCTAATAAATTTCTACATCTCGTAAATCAGCAATTTTTTAATATTCTTGTGCTATGTTTTAAAATTTGCCTATCCCAATAACCTTGGTACGAACTTTTATTACTGGGCCTAAAGTTGTTCTAATTATGGGCCCGTAGGACTCTCTTTCTTTGGGTCGTGGGCTAGTGTTTGGGTGATCCGCTCGAGCTATTGAGGGAGCATATATAACTGATCTACTACTCTTTAAATTTTTTTTTTAAAAATATCAGTTCAACTTGTCATAAAGAAGATTAACGTATAAAAAGCCTTAGTCAAATTCACCTGGTGTTTCAATAAGAAAGGTAAATTCACAGTAGCCTTTGCCTATGATAACCTCCTCAAAAGCAAGATCCTGGATTTGGATATGCCTGAATCCAGCAACCAACATTCTTGGATACTCAAAGTTAGGAGATTCAGCCGGAAACTCAAAATCAAGAAGAAAATCAAACACTTCATCTGGAAGTGTTTTTCTGCAATATTGCCTTCACTTTCTAATCTGAGCAAGAGAGGTATTAAAGTGGATTGTATCTGTAAAGCCCGTGGTACTAGTGAGGAAACAACTGAACACATTCTCTTCAACTGCCCTAGAGCAAAACTTGTTTGGAGGCTTGCCCCAGTGAAATGGAATGCTCTACATAAGGATATCTGCTTCAAAAGATGGTGGAAAGAAGTTTGTCTGATGCACATGAGCAAGGAGGCTGAAGATAGAATCCAACTAACCACCTATATCCTCTGGTGGTTATGGAAATCTAGGGGTCTTTGGGTCTTCGAAAATCAATGGCACAATGAGAAGTTGGTGGTGAATGGAGCTTGTTGTGAATGGCTACAGTTATCTTCTTTGTGTTAATTTTTCATCTTGTTTTTTCTTTTATTTTTCCCTAGCTAGGCTTGCTGCAGGGGCTAGGTAGTATTGGTTTGACAAATGGTAAGTCTCAGGGCTCTAGTATTCTATACTGCCCAATAGACAAACCATTTAGTCCATCTATCCCTTCTAGGCCATCTATTATGGTTCTCCATGTCTGTGTTTTAGTAGTTGGTCCCCTTGTTGGGGCTACTTTCTGTTGCTATCGGTTCTGTAACCTTATACATTTGTTATCTATTTCTCTTAATGCAACATTTTTTTTTTTTTTTAAAGTTTAGTCAAATTAAAAGGGAGATACGTCTTGTAACACCTCGCCTTCTATAACTAGACTTATAAAAATCATAGTTAAACTTTTTGCTTTTTATTTTTGAAAAATGCTAACATTTTTTTTTCTCGAAAATATTATAACTTGCTCGCGGGGTGCTACTCAAACACTTCACTATTCTTATCTCCTTTTCTCATCAGACAACTAATTATAATACATGTCACCTAATCAAATCCATTTAATAAAGGTACCATGGAGATAAAGATATTACACATGCAGAAGTCTAAAATCTCATAATCTCATATTGAGTCTGATAATAAGCGGAAGCTAAAGCATAATAAACACACGCATAAGTAAAACTACATGTTCATAATACATGACATGAAATGCGTGCCAAAATGTCCACTGAGCTCATGACAACGACCACCGCGAGGGCTCACGCGCCACGCTAGACTTCGTCACCTAAAAAGAGAGTTAGTGGGGGCATGAGCAAAAACTACTATGCTCCACAGAAATCGGTACTGAATAAAACAACATCTATAATAACAGTATAATGACTTAAGCATATAAGTAACTAAACTGGTCTGATTTGTACTCTAACTCTCGGCGGTTATGCCGTAAATCATGTGCACTCTCTGATAGAACATTAAGGCTGGTTGTGCCTCCATCAGAACCTAGGATGGGTCATTAGGGCTGGTTGTGCCTCCACCCTGGGCGATATAACTTTTTTCAAACATACTTCGGACATGGTAAAGAAATTAGAGATGATGTGGTACTCAGTACATGACCCCCACCAGATAAATCTGCTAGGCAAGTGCTGGATGAATGGTAACTGTCGGAGGCTCTGTTGTTATGTGATTTCTAACAACGAGGTAACAAGTGATTAAGCCGGTAATTATAAACGGTTAGGACGTGAAACATGTAGAAATAACTCAGCAATGGCCCCGGTCCGAGGTGAACCGAGGTGAAGAACCGTGATGGGCTTTTGCGTGTTGCATAATGATTTTTTTTGACTTCGGAGAGAGATCCCCGTACAAATGTTATTGAGTTGCTATATATAGCAACTTTTTCAATGGATACATTAGAGTTCGTGTACTACTTTTTGTATAAAGTAACTTTTGGTGGGCGGTTTGTAGCAGTGGGTTCCACATGAATGATGACGAGCCTCGTAGAGTGTGATAGGAGCGTGTAGACGCCTTGTCACCTGCTTAAGGAGGTGATGACCTCGGTTCAGGTTGACCTCGGCAGGTGGTGACTTTGATTTAAATAAATGTCGGTAAGTGTAGGTTACTTCGGTCTTCGGTAGTTTGGACCGGTTCTTTGCGTGGACTGGTGTGGCTTCGGATCATGTCGGTTCAATAGTTAATCTCACTTAACATGATGCTTGAAACTCCTTAATGGTGTTTTGCCGAGTCGGATGATAACAGGCTCGACTCTCCTTAAGCTACACAATATTTTAGCAAAATATTCTAAGTATTAAGGTCCACTGAAAAACTTAAATCTTATTATATAATCTTTACTAGGTTCGCTCGTTGGATTTTAAAATCATTTAAATCTCACTTTAAAATATTTACGAGCTAACTTGATAAATTATTGTCTTGAGGCGTTCTAGAGATCTCTGAAATATTTCTAAATCTGGAA